AGAGTGAAAGTGGATTTGGGTTATCCTTACTCAAAGTTACTGCAGGGGGAGTTGTAGAAGATGCATTTTCACTACTTTGTGCTAGGTTCACTTCTGTGGTGTTAGTGATGTTGACAACAGTTGGCTCAGTTATTGGACTGTGTTGCAACGAGGAAGCTGGTGATGTGGAATTTGATGGAGATGGGACAACCTAAGGTAAAACACTCACGAATCAGAAATAATTGTAAAATGAAAATAACAATTGTAAAATTAACATATTAATTAATATGTTACTTAATAACTTTCTGATGAACCACAAACTTAAAAAAAAAAAGGCAGAAAGTCTACCTTATAAATAATAATTATTATAATTGAAACAAGTGTTAAGTGTGCACATGTACCATCATATAGAGATTGACAAATGGGGAAAACAAAGAAGAAAATAAGTAAGTAGAAAATAAACAAATAAATGAACAAGCAAACACAAGGATAACAAAGTGCCTCAATCTGAGACCATTAAAGTTGCAGTGGAAAGTAACTGTTAGTAAAATAATGTAAGATCACTGAGATAAAAGGGTTGAAATTTGCATTTTACATGTACAGTATGCACTAACAGTTTCCATAAATACATGTCCAGTACATGTAAAACTGCCCTGTATGTGCATGGCAGAACATCCATTATTTACAAGCCTATACACTTCACTTGGACATGTATTTGTTAGGTGTTCAAGCAGGGAACTGCAGTGTTAATACAAATTAAAATGAAGTAACAACACATACTCTTTCAATATTGTTTACTTTGCCTTGAGCAGAAATTGATGGTACATCTTGAGGTGTTATGTCCTCCAATGCAGAAGAGAGCTGACTTTGCTGCCAATTCTTATCTCCCGAAGTAGCCTGAGGAAAGCTTTCATTATTTACTGCCTGCTCTCCTGTCACCACTGCCTCTTTGGATGGCATGACTGCTGCCATAGATGGCATCATTTTTGCCATGTCAATGTCAGAATGTCTTTTGGATGAAGGTTTCTGGGTCGATTGTGTGATAGGTGCTGCAGCAGTTGCTTTGGACTCATGATCATCAGTGTTTTTATCATCCGCGTCATTACCATCACCATGGGTTACCAACCCTTTGAAGTCTTTTGAATTGTTAACATCCAATGAATTGGACTGATCCTGTTTAATTGATTCTGTAAAGTTAACACAAAGAAAGCTCTGTCAAACTTCATTCTAATCAATTCTAGACTTACTTAGGCTACATGCGGTCTTAAAGTTGGTTGAACAAGGATTAAAACCACAAGTCT